GTGTCATCACAGTAACGGAATTTAAAAATTGTCCCACTCGAATAACGAACAAAATATGTGATGCCAAAATTCCGCAGGAATTCAGGCTGGTAGGCCATTGAAATTTGAAGGCGGTGTTTGGAGAATCTGGAAGTGAATATTGGATTGAATCAGAGTAATCAAAATTACCTTCTATAGTAAAGTTCAAGTTTTGTTTTCTGAAACATTGTAATGTTACCTTGTAAATAGCCTATAGAAAATAAGGATACATTACTTTAATCGATTGAGTAGTTATTAATTTGGTATCGTGGTTTAATTTGGAGAAGAAATAGGCGCGAACTTCATAGCCTACTATGTTATAGATTGACGTCCATCTGTTTCGCGGTATGATTTGGAGTAAACAGACGTTCGTTTCTCAGATACAAATCATACTACGTTATAGAATGGAATCCATCTGTATAATGGTATAGAACGTAAATACGCTGCCGGTCAACGTCGATGTAATTATTTGGAATTTACCAAAGAATGCCATCTTTCGCAAAGCGATGTTAAACTGTTGCTCCCGTGTATCAGAGATGTCATGCACGAGAAAAATCCCTACCATCGGAAAAGATGGGTTTGGCAAAATTTTCAGATGTGTCGTGACAAATTCCCTGGGTATTCTTGAATCAGGGGAGCAGCGTTCCCAGGAGAACGAGTGTTCCATCTTTCTCAATGATATGCAAATGATAATATAAGTAACAAAGACAGAATACTCGTTCTTCTGGGAACGCTGCTCCCCTGTTTCAAGGTTAAGGACCCTGGTGTCGGTGAGTGGCATTGGTCGCGGAAATAGACCGACGAAAAAAAAAAAATAAGTGATGGGTTGCTATGCTTATAAGTATTCCGAGTTACAAATCACAAATAAAAAATATATAGAGAGAAACACATACCCAAAGGATAATAAAAATTCAAAAAAATACTACTTAGGGTCAACCAAACTTAAGAATGGTACACGCACGTGTTTCGTCGCAAGTTGCGCATTGGTATGTCCATCACGGGACATGGTTGCCATAATAACGGCGAGTAGTTGGGTTATTTCCGTAGCCTCCCTAAATCAGATCTTCGAAACCAAATTATCGAAATAATAGTTTGCCAGCTGGCTTCGACGTCAGAACTCCGCGTAGACACGTGCGTGTGCCATTGTTAAGTTTGGTGACCGGTGTGAAGTTGGTGGCAAAAGATAGAAGCCAAATTTTCCGAAGATAACCGAACGCCCAGTGGCGTCGGGTCATATTTTAATCGACAGAAATTGTATTTTACCTCACTTGACTTAGTTATTTAAAATTCTACTACAGTTACATATCAGCGAAAAAAAACCCATATTCTTAGGGAAATTATATCAAGGGGTATAGGAGAGGGATTTTTTTAAAGTTATTTTGTTTTTTGAAATATCTCGAAATCTGCTCGTTTCTACAGATTTATATTTGAACCACAGTTAACTTAGGTACTAATTCAATTTTAAAAACATATTTCATCCCCAGCAGCCCGGGACAAGGGGTGCTACTGAGGGTTGGAAACATATTTTTTGAAATATCTCAAAATCTGCTCGTTTCTACAGATTTATATTTGAACCACAATTAACTTGGGTACTAATTCAATTTTAAAAAAATATTTCATCCCCAGCAATCCGGGACAAAAGGTGCAACTGGAGGTTGGAAGCATATTTTCTGAATTATTTTGAAATATCTCGAAATCTGCTCGTTTCTACAGATTTATATTTGAACTACTGTTAACTTAGGTACTAATTCAATTTTAAAAAAATATTTCATCCCCAGCAACCCGTGACAGGGGGTGCTACTGAGGGTTGGAAGCATATTTTTTGAAATATCTCAAAATCTGCTCGTTTCTACAGATTTATATTTGAACCACAATTAACTTGGGTACTAATTCAATTTTAAAAAAATATTTCATCCCCAGCAACCCGGGACAAGGGGTGCAACTGCCGGTTGGAAGCATATTTTTTGAATTATTTTGAAATATCTCGAAATCTGCTCGTTTCTACAGATTTATATTTGAACCACAGTTAACTTAGATTAGTACCTAAGTTCATTTTTGAAAAATATCTTACCCTCAGCAACCCGGGATAAGATGTGCACTAGACTCACTAGAGGATGAAATCGCTTTTTTTACAAATATAAAAAAAAACAAAATAATAATTGGAGCGTGTTTTAATTTTCGATTGTTTCACATTTTTCAAGAATTTGACAGTCTAGTTTTACGCTTAAAATTTTAGATCGAAATGCTGAAAGAGTCAGAATCGGAAAACTTTTAAATTGAAAACTATCAAAATCCTCTTTAAATTTCCCCCTTAATTATTTAGCTATCGTATTATTACCGGAAAGTCTCACATATTTTTTATTGGTATCTATGCCGCTCTAGACGGACTAGTCCAGACTGGTTGCTTTTTGCCATGCTAGTACAGAGTGCGATGTGCTTATGTGTTTCTGTTAGTTCCTTGTTACATTAGGTGCCGGTACTTTTGCTCTCATTTGACAGCCGTCAAAAATAATCAGGGGTTTGAATGTGCTCTAACCGCATTATACTTATAGACCTTGGCCCATGCAAAACTTTGACAACGTATCGAATTCGTTAATCGAGAGCGAAAGTATCGGCCCTAGATTTATTTTTTCCAATTTGATAAGGTAGGTACCTAATTGAATTATTCTAATTTGCCAATAATTGTGTCCTGTGCTAGGCTGAATTCACCGTGATTTCGTCAATCGTCATTTACCTTCTAAATTGAACGTATTTAAGGAAGTAGCATTCTTTAAATCAAAGAAACACAAAATGTTAACAATATTTTCTGAAGCAATATATTATTTCTGCTGTTTGCTTTATAATAACTTCACCTAAGTTAACCGTGGATGGTGGTTCAAATATAAATCTGTAGAAACGAGCATATATTTTTTTAAAATTGAATTAATACCCAAGTTAACTGTGGTTCAAATATAAATCTGTAGAAACGAGCAGATTTCGAGATATTTCAAAATAATTCAAAAAATATGCTTCCAACCTCCAGTTGCACCCCTTGTCCCGGATTGCTGGGGATGAAATATTTTTTTAAACTTGAATTAGTACCTAAGTTATCTGTGGTTCAAATATAAATCTGTAGAAACGAGCAGATTTTGAGATATTTCAAAATAATTCAAAAAATATGCTTCCAACCTCCAGTTGCACCCCTTGTCCCGGGTTGCTGGGGATGAAATATTTTTTTTAAATTGAAGCTGCACCCAAGTTAACTGTGGTTCAAATATAAATCTGTAGAAACGAGCAGATTTCGAGATATTTCAAAAAACAAAATAACATAAAAAAATCCCTCTCCTGTACCCCTTGATATAATTTCCCTAAGAATATGGGTTTTCTTTCGCTGACATGTAATTGTAGTAGAAATTTATATAACTAAGTCAAGTGAGGTAAAATACAATTTCTGTCGATTAAAATATGACTCGACGCCACTGGGCGTTCGGGTAACTTCGGAAAATTTGGCTACTATCTTTTGCCACCAACTTCACACCGGTAGTTTGGTGGACCCTACTTACAGAATTTTCAGTCGCAATGCACTTCAACTCTCAAGCTCCGGCTGCTGGCATGCTTGTACCACGTATGACTCAGCTCAAATGAATAAATGGAATGCGAAAAAAATTGGAAGCTAATAATTCTTTATATGTCCGAAATATTCGGATTGCTTGGAAACCTTCGTAAGCTCCGCCTTTTCTCTTGACAACGAACCTTAGGTTAGTTTATGCGGTAAGACGCTTATATCACTAATATACAGGGTGTTTATTTTAAAATTTACCACCCCTATTATCTCGGAGTTGAAAAATTTTCGTTTTTATGTAAAATTCACCTCCCCCCTTTCAACCCGTCAGCCACCAGATCCACCCTCTAGAAAATCTCAAATGGTAAGGGGGATCAAGTAATAATGATTTTGGAGGATTTTTAATTCCATAGGCTTCGGTACTAAACTTTTTGAATACACTTGGACCTTTAACAACTTAGGCCCTTTTTATTATAATTTTTTCAATTTATTTCAGTGTCTTTAAGAATGGATTTTATGAGCACAAATACATTTATTACTTCAACAACAACTCATCCAGGTCGAAAACACGTTCACGTTCAAATGAAAAAAAACTAAGGCGTAACATTCCAGATAGACTTCAATGAGAAAGTGGATCGAGTGTATGTGATTTACAGTGATGATGTATCACTTGAGCCCCCTTCCCCTTCAAGATTTTCTAGGGGGTGGCTCTGGGGGCTGGGAGGTTGAAAGGGGGGAGATGAATTTTGCATAAAAACTCATCCCCTTCAAATTATAGTTGACGTGTTTCAGGGATTTTCTCAAAAAAATTTTCAACTCCGAGATAATAGGGGTGGTAGATTTTAAGATGAAGACCCCTGTATAATCCTATGACCTATTCCCACAGATAGATGGAGCAGTGATAAGTGAACAATATTTTGGTATGACAACATTTGCGTGGCTTGTTTGTTATCATTCAACCTCACCACTCAAAATGCCATATGTTTTTGTATAAATAATCCATATTTGGCTCTATCACCTCCACTGCCCGCCCGCACTGCTCTCCTAGCTTACCTTTTTCGCCTATAAAAATGTTGCCAACACAGCAAAGCCTATTTTATGAATAAATTCTCCGTCTATCTGTGGTAATACATTGTATATGGTACTTAAAGGAGTCTATAATAGGATAACTAATACTTTTCTAGATTTTGACTTGGGAATTTATTCAGGCAAAGATTTCAGGTATTGAAAGTGCTGAAATGCACATGCGCACAATGCGCAGCTCTCAACTTTTGTTATTAGCACTTCGCGTCCGTGTCAAATACCCCTTTTCATATTTCACAGCGACTTGAAAAAAAGTTATTAATGTAATTTGTTTTAGTCGTAGTGTAGTTAAAGATAAATCATTTTGTACAGATCCACAAAATAACACAGGAAACCTCACCATATTCTTGATTTTCAGCTAAGAAAAATGCAAGCAATATTATTCCTACTTCATCGCCAGCAAACGACAATAAAGCTAAACGATCCAATTTATTCACCTCCAAGGAGAAGAAACTTCAAAAGGGTAAGTTCTGTTTGTGCATTATTTTTTCTTATAAATTATAAATGTCCCCCAAGGCATGAATAATAGGTAAACTTGATAGTTTTTCGACAAAAACTGTTCCTTTCTTCTTGATGATCACTTTAGAAATTCCTAAAACGCACAAGAGGTTTAAGTACAAATAATTAAGACTATAATTAAATGTAAATATGCTAACAAATGAAAACTAACAGGTGGTTATAGAGAGCGAACTTTCTGCACAAATACTTTAAGAATTGTTAAGTTAATCGTAAATTGCAAAATTTTTATAATTATCAAGATCTAGTTTGAAATCCAAACTTAATGACTAAGCAAATAATTTTCCATTTCAACGAGGAGATATAGAATGTTTGCCTTTATTATGCGTATCTGTCATCAGTAGGATCTTACAATATGCTTTAAATAATTGCCTATCAGGATTTCATTAATATTTAATGTGTGTATAGGTTTTATCAATATTTAAGATGACGTTCTGAAATTTACAAACCCTCAGATTTACTTGGCTTGGCCTTATCCAACTTTTAGAAAGCTTAGGTATTTTTTTGAGAAGTTTGCTTATGGTTTGACAAGTTTTCATAATCAAAAATTATCTTAGAATGTCCCAAAAAATATAAACAGCACCAAACAATCGCTAATCGCTGCTAGCCCGCGTTTCTAATAACGATAAGTATTCCGTAAACTGACAGTTTTTCATGGAGAAATGTCAGTTTAGGGAATAGGTACTTATCGTTAAGGCTTCCCTAAAATAGTTGGTGGAAACGGCCATAAGTCGCTAATCTACTGCTTCATAAATATCCAGGTAGGTATACGTACACATTTTATTTCAAATGCGTTCAAAAAAATTGAAATACCTATGTGATTAATAAGTTATTCGCCATGCATGGTTGGTAAAATGCCTGGTATTAAGATTTCCAAGATTTCAGCTCGAAATGAAATCTTGCAAGCATTATTCTCCCCTCAGCATTACCATATAATAAAAACAATTTTTCCTAATATTAATACTTATCTTTCTTGGCGTTTTATCTTATATTATTAACCATTGTTATTGCAACAGGCTGAGAACAGTGAGAACATCATTCCTTTCTATTTCCCCCCAAACACAATATCCACTCCACCATTGCGACTTTCTTCGTTCATTACGCTACACGCTTCAACTAAAATCCATTCAACAAGAGCAGAATCTTTGCGAATATTTGACTGTATAGACGCACTGGCAGTCACTAACGCGCGGGAGCCTGTACCTACTTCAAAAATACCGAAAATTGATCAATAATTATTTTTTACAATAACATAAACCAGTGAAGTGATAATGGGCCCTTTACACAAACTACAATCGTTTTTTAGCGCGAGTGTTTTGGATGTCAACAATAACACTCCAAACACTAGAAAGGGGTTTAAAGGCAAAAATAAAAGACAATTTAATAGTGAAATAGATTTTTTTGCGCATCAGGGTGATAGGATTAAAACAAACACTTATGTGTGGTCGACTTTGAGGGCTACAAAAAAAACCAAAGGTGAGGTGCTTGACCATTATTTTAAGAGTGAACATCGAATACCTATAAGGGCCCCGTTGGAGATGTTGATTTTATGATTAGGTACCGTAGGAATTGTTAGTTGATCTATATTAGTTTTTAAAGTGAAACTTCTTTAGCAAAGAGCAAGGCAGTAGATTTTTTAGACCGAGACGATGCGTTACTGATAATCTTGCATATTTTAAGAGAGCCAAGTGTATTCATGCTTTTCAAATAATTATTTTCAAATATATGCGTCCCCTTATTAGTTTCAATATATGCCTCGGTGCAATTTCAAAATTCATAGGCTTTCATTTCAAATTCCTTCACTCAATAATAGGTAGGTACCCATATCATAATAAATAATTAATTGCAGCTATTTCATATTTGCAAAACAACTTCATTTGATGGCTTTTAACTTCAATAAAATTTGAAAGAAAAGTGCGAAACGCTCTATGAACATATAAGTATGTATTTGAAATTTTCATTATTATGGTACCTACTTACATAATATCATGTGAAAAAAGTTTCGTATTTTTCAAACCGATTATGGCCATATCCATCCGTACAATAAAATTTGGATTTGATTGATCTAAGTTACTGGGGAATGTTTTAAAAGTTCGAACTGTTCATGGTTAGCCTAGCCTATTTTGTGGTGAAAAATTATATGTGAAAATTTGACGCTTCTGTGGAAAAATTCATCCTCAGTCAAAAAATTTCCACATCTCTCAAAACATTTCCACTTCTCTGGTGGAGATGTTGAATATTTTATAAAATAGTGATCTTGAGCTTGTATTGATGCATTCAAAATATTATCTATAAAAATATAACTCAATGCAGCTGGCCCATTCCTAAATCAGAGCCTCTTGCTGATCTTCAAATCCGCTATATTCAGTAATAGAATTGCTTTTTTGAGAGATCTCTAGATGATCTGACATAGAATGATATATTTTTTTTAAAGCTTGACATATAGCCCTTATCGGGTTCTCCTGGGCTGCGTTCAGGAATAGCTATAGCCAAGCCAAAATTGGCATTTTGCGTTCGAGTTCGGCTCCAACCTACGTGGTTCGTCATTACAGGTGGAGGGGGAAAAGTAGGTTTTGGCATTAGCATTGCCGCCCTTGAACGCACCCCAGGTTGTTTTCCTCTTGAATTCAATCGAAACCTCTCAAACATAACGTTACTTTTTGGTATGAAATCAGAAATAAGCAAGAAAATGGGATCTTAATCTTGTCAAAGATTTTATTAAGTACCTATCAAGTTATGACGTGACCATTATGATTTCTTCATCTTCATTGCCCACAAGTTAGACAAGCATAACTATTTTCTAATTGTCACCTTTTATCGGAAAGTGGTGTCCTACCTTATAGAGCGAAAGCATCGAACACTGATGTGGTTCTGATCGAAGTTCCACCGTTCTGTCCTCCTGTTGACATAATTTCGCTTTTTTCCTCTTGTTTATTTGGCCTTGATGCTCCTGTTTTTGCACGTTGCTGCAATTGCCAGTGTTGAGTGTAGGGTTTGATTTGCTTTCCCACCCCCGATGTTGACCTTTCAAATGAAATCCCTGGGAGAGGCGGAGAGAAATTATTGTGTCACCCGAAAGAAAGTTGTGGCAGTAGTAACATCCTTTGAGCATTACCACAGTAGTTTTCCCTGTGGCAGGAAATCTCTAGTTGGAACCGACCATTCAGCCTTGCAGTGGCTGCTAGATTGTAAAAACCTAGAGGTGAAATCGCGCGTTGGTTAGAGAAATTGAAAAGCTACGACTTTCAATCAAATTTCGTGAAAATATAAGTCACGCCAACAACGACAGCCTACCACGAAGACCATGTAATAACAACTCTTGCAAATTTTGCCAAAGGAAAGAAGAAAACAAAGCAGTCAAAAATTCGGGTCTTGTCAACAGATGAGAGCTAAATATACCGAAACTGATACTAATACTGACGACGACATTACCAAGGAAGACTTCGACAAAGAACAATATGATGGATATTATTTGGAAATTTTGCTGACAAGACCTAGATGGCAAGACATTTATAGTTTCGCTTCAACGGTAAAAAGATACTGGCTCCATTGGGATCTGTTGTCCCTGGCGAGATGACTTAAGCACTCGTAACCATGGGAGAGTGTTATGATATTTTTACCTTTACCTTATTTATCGGGTAATTAATTTTATATTATCAATTTTCTGTTAACTTTGTCATGCTCAAGTTTCGTGAATTGAAGCCTTTAATAATTCTTATCGAAGGTTTCTTACTACAGAGAGTCCGGATGGTAAACGTCTAGTATATCAGACCATTCATCAGACCGTTGTGTCACGGACCATCGTGAACGTGAACTGCACTGTAGTCCGAGTGGTGGCCACTATAGAGTAAATAGGACGTTGGCTTGAGTAAGAAATCGGTATTATTGAATCAACTGCCGTAGGGATGTTGAAGAATGGTGCGAAAGATGCTGGGCTTCGAAGAGAGGACCCAAGACAGAAGATGAAACTGTAGTGGTCTGGATTTCCCTAGCGAGAATTGATGTAGATATTGCAGGTCATTTGCCTGCCAAAGACTTGTGGAACAAATACCTTATGATTGCTATGGACTTTCAATTCCCATTCAAGAAGTGGTTACAGTTGCTGAAGCCTTACAGGAAAATATAGCAAGGCAGGGGACACTGTTGGAGCTTTATAACAATCAGGGGAAGAATTTTGAGTCCGAAAATCAAAACAACTGGCGCTATTACGAGAACGACTCTACCTCTTCCACAGTCCGAGGAATAGCCAAGAGACAAAATCGGGCCATTAATCAATACCTCTCGATTTTTGTGGATGAGCACTAGCGAAAGTGGGTTAAACTGGTGCCCTTTGCCTTCTGGCTAATAGAAGCTCTCAGCATGAATCTACCGGCTTTACAACATCGATGCTGGAATAGAAAAGAAGCTGATCTGATGTTCTGTAGACCACTAACCGATGAAGATGAAGCTGTACTTCCTGTTAACGTGGCTGATCTGAGTATTTCATGACTTTGCTAGGAACCGATTACGGTCTGCCACAGCAAGAAAAGGGAGAAAGCCTGAAAAGAGCTATATAGGATCGTTAAGAGGATCAACGACTTGGTGTTCACGATTGAACTTGTCTAAGTCTTCCGTAGGAAAACGTCAAACAAGAATGCATGATCGGTTTTGCTCTAAAATGCAAAAAAGTCAATTTTCAACTGTCAATATTTCCGAAACAGTTGAAGATAGGTATAGGACACGATACATGAAATAGGTTCAGAATTTAACGTAGAAATTGAAAATGAAATAAAAAAATGGATGTTTTCATTTGAAAAAATAAAGCTAGCCTTCATAACTTGTTTTTGGGTCACCCTGGCATGATATTATCATCAAAAAAACGGCAACTAAAATCAAAAATCGACGTGTCCGAGGTTTTTTGAAAAATATCAACCCTGTATATTTTATGGATTTTATTCCAAGCTTTAC